GGTGTGGGGTGAGTGTGCCCCGCGTGGAGAAGTGTGTGCGGTGGGGGTGCACAGCGTGGAGGAGCGTGCACGGGGGTGTAGGGTGAGTGTGCGCGGCGTGGGGGAGCGTGCATGGTGTGGGGTGAGTGTGTGCGGCACGGGGATTGAGTGCGGTGAGGGTTGAGGGTACCGGACACGGGGGAAGGTGTGCACGGTGTGGGGAACGGTGCGTGGGGTGCGAGGTGGGAGTGCATAGAGTGGGGGAATAGTCGTGGGGACTTGGAGGAGTGTGCAGTGCGGGTGAGTGCGCACAGGGTGTGGGAGTGTGCATAGAGTATGGGGTGAGCGTGCACAAGGTGGAATGTGCAGAGTATGGGGTGAGTGTGCACAGAGTGAGTGTGCACAGGGTGTGGGAGTGTGCATAGAGTATGGGGTGAGCGTGCACAAGGTGGAGTGTACAGAGTATGGGGTGAGTGTGCACAGAGTGAGTGTGCACAGGGTGTGAGAGTGTGCACAGAGTATAGAGTGAGTGTGGGTGGCATGGGATAGGTATACAGAAGGTGCAGGTGAAAGTGCACATTGGGAGTGTGCTCAAAGTGTGGGTGACTGCAGAAGGTGTGGGGCGGTTGTGCATGGCGTGGGTGAGTGTGCACAGCATGCACGAGTGTGGGGGAGTGTGTGCAATGCATGGTGAGTATACACTGCACGGGTGAGCGTGCATGGCAGGGGTAAGTGCGTGAGGTGAGTGTGTATGGTGTGGGGGTTAGCGTGCATAGGGCATGGGTGAGTGTGCATGGCGTGGTTGAGTGTCCACAAGGTACAGAGTGAGGGTGCATGACATGGGGTGAGCGTGCATGGTGCATGGATGCACATCGTGAGGGTGAGTGTGCATAGTAGAGTGAGTGTGTGTGGAGCGTGGAGGAAGTGTGAGTGGTGAGGGTGTGCATGCCTGGAGTGTGGGGTGACCGGGCACAGCCTGGTGCGAGTGTGCATGGGGTGTGAGGTGAGTGTGCGTGGGCTGTGGGGTGAGTGTCTGCGAGGTGGGTGAGCATGGACAGTGTGGATTGAGTGTGCTTGGGGCATAGGGTGAACATGCAGGGTGTAGGATGAGTACGCATAGCATGGGTAAGCATACATGGGGTATGGAGAGAGTGTGCACGGTGTGGGGCGTGTGGGGAGTGAGCGTGCATGCAGAGGGTAGACACATGGGACTTGGAGTGAGTGTGCATAGCGTGGGGTATGTCAGGGGTATGAGGAGTGGGGATGAGTGTCAGGGTATGTGCGTGAGGGTGGGGGGTGCCTGGCACAAGCTGGGGGTTTGCAGAAAAGTGTCCCTGCGTTGTGAGGCACGTGAGCGCCTGTCTGTGTGCACAGGGGTGTGAGCATGAGTGCCACGTGCTGGGGGTGTGACTCTGTGTGCGTGGGCACAGACCGTGGCCATGTACAGCTCATGGAGGCACTGGGCCTGTTTTGGGCTCCCCCAGCCCGGTGCCGGGGCCGGGAAAGCAGCGCCATATGAGGCAGATGTCTTTGGAGGAGCTGTTGCTGTGGCTCTCACTTCCCCCGATGGGGCCACTGGGCACTGCCTGCCTCAGTTTCCCCGTAAGCGCTCCTGGGCTGGACACCCAGGGTGTGCCCGTCTCCTTGGCACCATCACCCCAACACTGAGGTACCCTTTTCCCTCGTAGGGTCCTGCTGGGCAGGGGTCTCCTATCTGGGAGCTGTATGGTGCCCTTGCAGGGTGCCCTTGCAGGCTGTCCCTGTGTCATGCTGCTTCTCCCTTAGGGACAGGAGGGTGGCTCTGGGAAAGTCCAGGGTAACTCAGCAAACATCATCTGCCCCAACACAGCCCCTTCCTGGCCATGAGGACGCTTGGTGTCCCCTGGTGCTAGGGGGGCTCCTCTTGGGCTGTAGTAGCTGGGTGGTAGAAGACAGTGCCCCCGCAGCTCCCCGGTGTCCCCAGCCGCCACAGCCCACGCCACGCTGGTGTTCCCGCCGTAAACAGCCGGGCGCCGGCAACTGGCAAAGCGCTCTACCCCCGGGCGAGCACCGCGCGTCTCCACGCCGGCACAGCAGCGCTGGCGGGGGCTGCCAGCACTGCTTGCGTGTCGGTTCCTGTTTGCACCAGGGAGGAAAATGCGTTTCCTTTGGGAAATGAGTTGCAATCTGGGCTTTGGCCCGAAGGCTGTGCTGTGCCCCCCCCACCCCCCCGGGGACTCTGGGTGCAGGGGGGGTGGCATCCCCACTCAGGTCCCTTTTGCATTCCTAGGGGTGCTGGCTGTTCTTTTGCCCCCAGCTCCGCTCCTGAGCTGTGGGCAGGTGGGAGAACTGGAATGGAGCTGGCATCTACCCTCCGACTTCCCGGACCACGCAGCACGGCAGGAGGGGGGGTTGCAGACCTTTCTGTCCCTGAGTGCACAGAGACATCCCTTGCACAGCATCCCCTCAGCATCACTGCTCCCATAGCTGCCGCCCTCCTGAATCCCCCCCAGCACCCAGCGGGCAATGTGGGGTGTCCCACAGGAGTTTGGTAGTGATGTCATGACCCACCCCAGCTGCCCTGCCACCAGAGGATGCTTGTCCCCTTGCTGCAGACTTTGGCTGATGGGAGGTGCAGTGTCAGTGCTGGGCAGAGCACACCAGGGGACTTGGAGGGGTGACACTGGACCCTGATGTAGAGACCACTGCTCCTCCCTCCCCACATCCTGTCACCCAAGACTCAGCTCCCATGTTCCGTTTCCCCTCTCTACCTTGGTATGGGCTGGCTGGACCCCCCCCCCTGCAGGTAGGAGGGGAGTGGGGGGAGCAGTCCCCTCTGACAGGCAGCTCCCTGGCTGGGGTGTCCCCAGCAGGTCATCACCACCCCCTGCTTTCCCAGGCCACTCCAGGGATTATACTCAGGCATGTGCTGCCCTTCACCTAGATACATTGGAGGGTGTCCTGGGGGCTCCTTTTTGGGGTCCCCCAGTGAGAGAGGGGGTCCTTCCCAATGGAAGGCAACTCCTTTGGCTCTGGGGACCCAGATGCCTGAGCTCCAGGAGCGCAGATGTTTGTGTATTCGTTAGGATCTTGCGCACAAGTAAATGCCAAGGCAAATCAGAGGGGAAACGCTTTCATCCTCCTCCAGCCCTTAATGACATAATCGCTTCCAAGAGCGGGTGTCTCACTCGCACGCTCCTGCTGACTTGGGGAGGAGGCCGGCCGCTGCATCCCACCGTCTCAGCACTAACAGCGGGGGCAGGCGGGGGAGGACCTGTTTCCTCATGTCCCAGCAACATCCCGGGGCTGAAGAAGAGCCAGGTGAGCCCTTTGCTCCAGCCTTTCTTCTGCGTCACACTGACAAAGCCCTTAAGCACAAGATTAAGCATCTGTTGTGGCCTGGGGAACGGGGGGCTTACGGGACAGGATCGGGCCCCTCCAAGCAGGGATGGGTGCGGGCAGGCATGCGAGGCTGGTGGAGGATGCTCTGGTCCTCATGGGAGCATCAAGGCTCAGGGCAAAAGCTGAGCTTTCTGTGAGCACCGCATCTGTCCTTGTCACTGCTGCAGTCCCCCCAGTTGGGGACACAGGGCCACGTGGCCATGGGACCTGCCACCTCCCAGCTTCTCTGCCACCTCCAGCACCCCTCAGCAGCCCCATGCTCTGCAGAGGTCAGCCGTGGATGTGGGAAGCACTCAGAGCTGGCATGAAGGGTGTTGTTCCCCAAAGCCAGGGCAGGAAAGGTGATGAGGGGTCCCTGGCACGGGGTGCAGTGGGGACACTGCACTTGGAGCTCCCCTGCCCAGGTTAAAGCACCCAGGCAATTCCCATCCTTCAGCAGCTTGTGAATTTTTCACAAGCCTCCTGTCCTCCCTCCACACCTCCGCCCCCTCCCAGCATGTGCTTTGTGCAGGGGACTGGGGAAGCGTCCATTCCTCTTCCTCTCCATCCTCACTTCCCTCCATCATCCTATCCCTCTGTCCCTCCATCCCTCTTGGCCGTGCCTCCATCTCTACACCCTACATCCTCCTGCCCAGCCCCCGGGCTACCTGCACTTTCCCTGCTCCTTTCCCCTTCCCTCTTGCAGGAGCAGGTCCTGCCGGCACCCCAAGCCACAGGCTCCACACCTCCAGGAGAATGCGGATGGCTCTTCTTTTGTTACCTCCATCAGGACCCTTTTCCAGCACCTTTCCATGCAGCCCATGGCTCGTTGGCTCTGTTCCCCCCTTCCTTCCCAGCAGGTGTCTTCCTTTAGTCCCTTCTGCCTTGGGATAAGCAACCTCCAAGCCCTGTGCCTTGGGCAATCGAGGAGTGGTTTTCATAGGCGCTGGATGGAGGGTCTGTGGCATCTCCTTGGAGCAGTGGGTCATCTCTCTGGGGCTTTGGCTTGTCCAGGGATGTCCCCCTAGAGCCCAACAGCAGGGAGGGGCCAGGGTCAAGGTCTCTGTGTTCTATCATGCTGCTCCTGCCTGATACCACAGACTGGCTGCAGGCCCATGGATGTGACCAGGGGACAACACAGGGAGAGACCAGCCTGCTACGGCCAAGCACAGTCTCTGCCATGCCATAACTTTGGAGGGTCTGATGGCCCCCGGGACTATCCCAGTCTGTGCAGGATGGGGCAGCTCTGCTAACACATAGCAGGGGTGCAGGGGGGAAGCACTGGGGAACCCCAAAGCATGGTGGAACAGGAGGATGGGCAGAGATGGAGAAGCACCAGGACGGGCACCCAGTCTGATGCCACCAGGACCCGGAGGCCAGAAGGGATGGGTGCTGGGAGCTGAGTGGCTTTCAGTCTGCAGCCAGGCATGCAAGCTGGTGAGGAAGAGGAGGAGGAGGAAGGAGAGGTTCGCTGGGAGCCCATGCAGCCAGCCACGCACCTTCTCCATCCTGCAGCACGGCTCTCCTTGCTCCCCTGCCCGGCAGCACCCACAGGACCGGAGCGACGGCTGTGTGAGTCAGGGCTGGGCGTGGGGTCGGGGCGACCCTGCCTTTTGCGGCAGCGTTAGTCACCGTGCCAAGCTGCCCCAGCCCGGCGGCAGCACCGGAGCCCCCAGCATCGCTGCCCTCCCTCTGGCTCACACCCCACGACCTGCCCGAGTCTGCTCGCTGTGACTCAGGAGCCGACCGCACGGCCACCTGGCTGGCCCGGCCAGTCCTCCTGCCTGCCCAGGGCTCGGGCGCTGGTGGGGCGACGCGTGGGGGGGGAGGGGCAGGCCCCGCCTGCCTCTAGCCATTGCTGGGAGCATCCTTGCCATGAGGCACAGCTCCCCTCCTCATCCTCCTCCCAGCACTCGGCAGTGAGTGCCACAGTGGCAGAAGGATGCAGGGAAAGGGTTGAAGCCCTGCTGTGGGTACCATCCTGTGGGAGCCTCAAATGCCGAGACTGGGGCAAGCCACCACCCACACTGCCTCCCCCACACCACAGGGACTGGCCATGAAGGGGGGACACGCCGTGGCAGAGCAGCCTCTGAGGTGCTGGTATGACCAGGACAGGGGGGAGGATCCCACTCCTTGTACTGCCTCGGGCAAGGAGAGAGCGTCCCCCAAGGGCCAACCTGCTGGCTGGGATGGTGGGGAGGTGGCTGGATCAGGACTGGCCAAGCACGTCTGTGCGGCACTGCCCCGGGCGTCTCTCCCCCTCAGGGATGGGTGTACGGCCCCAGGGATGGGTGGAGGGTGCTGGTCCCCATGCGGGGTGAGCAGGGGATGCAGGCACCTCAGCAGCCCCTTCTGCTGCAGGTCCCCTCTCCGGGAATAGGCATAGTCAGAGCCCCCTCCCCGGAGATGGAGGAAGGCTGCTGCCTTCATTACAGGGTGAGTAACGAGGCGGTGGGAGTGGAGGGGATTTGGATAAGGTGAGAAGTTGATAGTTAAAAACAGGGCCTGGGAGTGGGGGGATCTCTGCAATGCCCCTCTTCCGGGGGGGGTGGGTTGGGGTGGTGGATGAGGGGTGCCCTGGGGTTACCCCAGCTCTCTACCGGCCTCCAGAGCCCACCACCAGTGCAGATGCTGCTCAGTGTGCACCATGCCGGTGTGGCCAGCCCTGGCGTGTGGACAGAGCAGGGGCCAGACGCCAGAGGGAGCCAAGGAAGGCTGGGGGACACAAAGCCCTCTCATTCACAGGCAGCATCTCCAAACAGCATGCCTGGGAGTCCTTGCGCACCCCATCTCCTGCCTTTTGAGGGTTCATGCCCACTGTCTGCACCTTGTTTTGGGTGCCCCAGGTCCCAGCGCATCCCCGTGTCTGGGTGCTTGGAGATGCTGCAGCAGGGCTGGCCTGGACACCCCTCACCCCAGCACCCATCTTCCCCTTGCCAAAGACAGCCACCCCACACATCAGGGTCCCAGGAACAGGGACCAGGGGGCTGGGGTGGGACAGCAGAACCCCAATAGTGGGAAGGGATGAGCCAGACCCTCCTAGGCAGGTCAGGGTGGATGTGACCCTGTGGCTGCATGGGTGACATCTGTCACTGGGAGCTGGAGTGGGGACAGAGGAGGACAGTTGCAGGCAGCTCCCTGGAGGGAGCAGCAGAGCCTGGAGAAGGAGAGTCAGAGGCCTCTGCAGAGAGCAGGGCTGGGCAGGCGGGAGCCCTGGCCGGGACCCAGCTCGGCTGGCCGGGCAGCCCCCTGCTCAGCATCCGTCAAGGAGGAGGGACCACAACCACGAGAAAGGGGTTTGTCAGAGGGTTCGGGTGCTGTTGTCTGAGCCTTCCCCCGGCTGAGCTGGTACCCAGGTTTCTCAGCCTCCCCCTCGTAGCCCTATCTGCGTTACTCCACACTTTCCTAAAAAGCTTCTGGTTTTTTGGCAAAAACGTTCTATTTTTGGTCTCAGTCCAGAGGGATTTTCTGGTGGGTTTTTTTCAAGTTTGATTGAGTTAATCTGTCCGGCTGTTTTCAACTTGGGCAGTTGAAGGGAAAATTGTGCTCTTCCCATTTGAAAAAAAAAAAACAAAACCCAACAAAATGAAGCCATTAATGTTACAGAGGTTTTGGATTCTTTTTTTTTTTTAAACCCAAATATTATAAACTTCCTTTTTTTCCCCTGGGAAGATCTTGCGAGTTTTGCAATGTAAACTGCCCAGCACCAGGGATGTGGACTACACACGCACACATACAGCTACATCCCCGGACTCCGCAGCTACACGTGGCACCCCCACAGCCACCCTTGTGCACCCCTGGCTCACACCAGC